TTTAAAATATTTATCTTTTATTGAAAAAGAACAGTTTTAGATGTCTTAGAGAGAGTTGAGAGAGTTAATGACTTATTTTGGCGCCAAAAAATTAAGACTCAATCAAAATTGAGTAATATAATCGTATGATTATACGTTATAACGTAGAATATTTATCTTTTATTGAAAAAGAACAGTTTTAGATGTCTTTTAATTTATAGAGAGAGTTAATGACTTATTTTGGCGCCAAAAAATTAAGACTCAATCAAAATTGAGTAATATAATCGTATGATTATACGTAACTATTAGTATAACGTAGTTATGTAGAAGAATAATGCTTTCATGAATTTCATACAAGTTAATTGGCGCTTCAAATGCATAGACTTAAAATTAAATTTATTCCTTATACGCGTATACTCCTTATACGAGCCTGCAGAAACTTCTGCTCTTAACATGACAAGACCATCAAGTATTGCTAAAGGAAGATGGCACGAGGAGAATGAAAATGGATAGATGGATGTGGTTGTTAATGTGTAATAACCTCGAAGTGAGAAGCAAAATGAGAGAATGTGAACAATGGATTCCACTTTATAACGCTCTCCAGATCACCGGAAATAAATGTTTAACGTCATGATTAACATGATAATACACAGTGGTATGAACGGGGATATGAATATGTTCGGATAATGTTGGTTTTCGTTAGTTTTTAGATAAAAAAAGAAGGAAAGCTCGGAGAAAAATATCTTCTAAAAAAGAAAGAAGGATACAAAGAGGCACATACGATATACACGTGGCATTACTACTTAAAATATATATGATGTAAAAACATACTCAAAATACTTTTAAATAACTAAATTGATATTACTTGAAATATTGAACACATTTACATGTGTGTATAGTGCTAATTCCCGGTTTACAACAAAATCGAAGGATGATGTCTCGAGATTTTTGTTAAAGGAAAAACAGATCAGATGATAATAATAGATCGTGTGGTCAATTCAAATTGACAATATGATTGTTTCTTGCATAAAAAGGATATGAAACACGATTTGATGACGAAAATCGTCGGATCGTGAAGCAAGCGCATATTCGCGGTTTCTCGAATTCGATTCCATATGAAACAAAGTCTTCTTTATGTTTAACTTTAGACGACGTGAACGTATTTTTCGCTTTTACGGGAAATATCGAGATTCAACTTGGAACCTCCCTCGTATCCAGCCACTTTATTGCACCCCGAGTAGACGATAGCTGAAACTCGTAAAACGAACCTCTGTGATTTGTGTACCGCTTGCTGTCTGACACGGCGATCATTCCAAACAGGTTATTTAGGTTCAATTAAACTTGTTGGTAAACCGTTGATATTTATGCGCATTTTTTTCTCTCTCTCTCTTTAATATTGTAATATGTCGTAGTATTTGAATAAAAGAAATAGTAAAAATAGAGAGTAAAAGATAATTGCAAGCTTTCTTGCATAACATTCTTGTATTTCTTTTATTTTTTTATATCTTGAGAAATTTTTTTAATTTTGCAGATAATTAATTGCATCAAATGTATACAATTATACAAACAATTTTATAAACATTTTATATATTGTATATAATATTTAATATATTTAAAAATATAAATCAATTTATACAATTTTGAATACATTTAATTTATATATGTTTGAGTAAATATTTATTTTTATACATGTGAGTAGAGAATGCATGTATGAATAAATCTATAATAATAATTTATATTTGTCTTTTTATATTTTCGAAATATCATATCAAAGTCATGTTATACTTGAATTTAATAAATATCGCAAATAATGCAAAACTATCTTTGATGAGATACTCTAATCAAATTTCTTTGCACGATATATTCCAACGTGCCGCGAATGTCGATATTCGCACCGCGTTACGTGAATACTGCGGCAATATTACGTTCTTCTTTTCTCGCACCTTAGGAAAATGAAATTCCTACGTTATAGAGGGGATGCGGACATCTCTATAATTACGAACTTCGACCAGAGTTCCGAGTGCGCTCTACACACACACATACACAGATAAATACATGCACACGTCATACAACCAATTATACGGGCTGCTGCAAACATTTGCTTAGAATTCAGAATTAGAACGCCGTATTGGACGAAATCACTGACTGTGGCCGCGCCAGGCTGACACATGGCGCGCTTAACAATAACCATCCGGATGTTGTTCGCCCCTCGCTTGAATAATCCTCCTTCATTCTCATTTGCAAGGAAATTTGGAGTGACACAATTGAATCGTCATTAGACAACTGGAATAACGCATTGGATTTCAAATAAAAATAGCTATCATTAAAATATATTTAAAATAAATATGAAATGAATATATTTAAAATAAATAGCTATAATTTTTCTTGAAAATTTTACAATTATATATATTATTTTTGAATATCCATCACATGTTTTTCATGTTTATAATAATCATAATCTATAACGTAATTGATAATTTTATCGTGGGAGAATTATATCATTCTATTTATTTAATAGCGTTAACTATTCCATATCCGCATTTATATTGGATCTCAGAACATATATCGTAGATCAAATATTTTAGAGGAAAATATTCTAAATTTTTAAATAAATTTGTTTATTTCAAACATGTTAGCACCACGTTATTTCCTAAAAAGTAAAGCGCGATATAAATAGATATTTGAATAACGTGTAAGTTTCTAGATTCTTATATTATTTATTGCTTATGAATAAAATATCGTAAAAGCAAATTGTGAATCTCGGAGTTAATATAATCGGGCAGCATAATTTCACATTGGCGAGCGACAAAATTTGATTAATCTCATTCTACTCTGTCGAATGGGATTAATGGAGGGGACACATTGTCCAATTAAAATATTGTCGCGCGACAGATGTGACGCGGGAAACGATCATCTGCCGCGAGGTGAACGCTGCTGCGTTTTAAGCGCCCGTGAGACATACTCGGTCCAGAAATGGAGAGCGTAAAAGCGCATTAAGCACGAACGGCGTCGAAATCTAGACGGAAAGGTCGTAAAAACTGGAATAGACGGGCACGGAGAGGAATCCAACCGAGCACTCTACCCGAAAGAGCAGCGCACCTGCTGACACGTGTGATTTACCGGCGGGAATGTCCTCATGAGCGCGTGCATTTCGCGCAACTCCGTCGTGGTGCGAGAGAAAAAAAAAGCGACAATTGTTAAGGTATTATTTCCGGTCACTCCTGCGCGTATATACACGCATTCGCCGCTCTTTATTACGATTACGATAAATTCCGGATGTAATTGAATGTGAGCAAGTTATTAAACGTGTTGATAAATTGCACGCCCCGACTACGTCCACGTGACAAATATTTTGCGAGCTGCGCGATTAATATTGAAGGGAACACCCGATATCGATGGTGAACATACAAAGGGGCCGCTTAATAAGCTCGCTGGATCTTCGTAAATCATTTTGATCGATAATGCGATTGATCTGGTATTTTGCTGGTATGGCTCAATCGCAAAGTGTTATACGATATTATATTATGCGTTATTGTACAGTTTATCACGTATGATAACGGTGATATAGTAATCGATATGAATTTATTATTGTTTGGAGAGTTTATCATTCAGACAAATTTATTAAATTTTAGTTCAATATTTAAAAAAGAGGGAGTTAATTTTTTATCTAAATAAAATATTAATTAAGCAAAATTAAATTGTATCGTGTATTTTTTAGAAAATTGCAAATAGGTGGAAATAATTTAATTATATTAATATGCACTGTGTATTTTCATATGTCATTTATAAATAGAGATATAAACTTTATAATCTTTTTTCTTTGTTAAAAAAGAGTATTGATATACTCTTTTTCTAGAAGTATATTATATTCATAGAATTAAATGAAGAGAGTATCACGTGGTCGAATCAAGTTATTTTAGATTTTATGCAACTTGGTTTACCTGAAAGCGCAAGTATTTTTTTTTCATATAAGGTTTCCCGGCGATTAAAACGCGTGTGACACGTTTTCTATCTGACATGAGAGAACTAGAGAAGACCACTTTACTTTCTAAAGAATTAAGTTTTGTTACGGAAATATCTGGCATACCAGCGCTTTTACAGAATCTGAAATAGTGTGTTTAATTTATATGCTACTGTATCTTTATTTAGTTTCTAATATACAACAAATCTATTCACTAAATCGCTTTTCTCTTGAGGAATGCGAGAAATCTGTGGGTGACGTCGAAAAGCATATATAATGCATATCTATTAAAACACAATTTAATATAATATTAATAATACCATAAAGCTCTAATTTAAAAATTAAAATTATTTTAGCAATAAAGTTATATATATATAGACATTGAAATATTTTTTTTTTTTTAATGTTAAATTAAATAGTACATCAGTATTTTTAAATGGTAGATATTTAACTTTTTTTTTTGTTCAATAACATAACGTGTTGAAAGGTGACGATGTGACATATTGCTCCGTGTAATTATCTGAAATGAAAAAACTCGGTCTTTATCAAATAGGATATTTTTGGGATACTAAACCTGATAAAAATTAAAAAATTTATAATAAATAGTTTTCTGATTTTTAAGAAATTTCAACAAAATTGAAATATCTGATTTTTAAATGACAGTACTTTGTTAATTTTGAACTTTTTTCTAATGAAATTAAGTTTAATGTCCCAAAAAGATCTTACGGAATAAAATCAACCCGAATTTTTTTATTTCAGACAATTATACGAAGAGTAGCATATCACGTTATGGTAACATACTATGCGTATTAAACAAAAAAAAAAAAGCTAAATATCCAAGATTTAAAAATACTGATGTACTATATAAATATCAATAAAAACGTATGTAAAACGTCAAAAGATCAATTTCTATTATTCTTCGCAAAAAAAAGTTTCTAAGGATCATGAATTTTTCTAAAAGGATCATGAATGCTGCTAAAGTAGGATTGGGCACTAAAGCAAGAGCCGATCGTGTGGCATCCTTTTGTTTCTCGTTCGTTTCAGTGTCACGGCGAGCTGCGCTATGCCGGTTGGCGTCTCGGCGCCGTGTTGCTGCTTGCCGGCGCGGACGTCGCGTCTCTGCCCATCCCGGCGTTACTCGGATGCGGCCGAGTCGGCTGGGCGGCACATGTCGCAGGCGCCCTGGCGGGTCCGCTTCTGGGTCTGGCCGTGTTCCCGAACCAGAGTAAGAAGGACGCCCGCGGCCGCAGATTCGTGCGATACGCGCGACTGCTGTCCGCCGTGAGCGTGATGCTACTGATCGTCGGCGCCGTCCTCGGCAACGTCTATCTGATCGCTCTGCCGCAGCTCAGGAAGCCGTCCTGACAGAGAATCGAGATGCTCGTCAAGCTCTGCAGACGGTCCTTCCTGATCGTCAAGATCCGAGAGGCCGCGGAAAGTGTGTTCGAGTAGAGGCTCGTGTGTGGGCCGGAAAAAGAACAGATAACGCGGGAAACGAACTGCGGACTCGTATCTTGGGATCTGAGCATCGATCTGCCAGGTGAATCTTTTCGCTTTCGAATCTCGCAGGGATCTCGCGCGATCAAATCTCGTCGTCTATTACGGAAAAACGCGATTCGCGATTTCGACAAACGCGCGTGAAAGTTTTTACTCCGGAAGGGAATCACATGATCGATACCCCAAGATGCTTGTAAAGAGACTTGAAAATTCCTGTTCAGTAAGTCGGTAGGAGAGCAAATACCAAAGATCGACAATTCGTCGAATTCGTTCATGCTGCCATTAGAATCTCTAAACTCTCAGAGTTCGATGAAATGTGCGGTAGAATGATGGAATACTTTTAAGTGAATATAAATTGTGGCTCTCTCGCGTCTGATACTTTGATAAATTTGATATTACAGACATTATGAAGGTAAACGTCGCGACTTTTTTATGGACAGATAAGAGAACATATAACTGCCAATTACAACTTTTTAATAGGATCGAATTGCACATGATTAATATTTAACGATACAATTCATAATGATTTCTCGTTATGTCAATCTCAACGCATCTGCGAAAAAAAAAGAGACTATGAAAGTGTGACGTGTGTGTATAATAAAAATAAGAAAAATTATAATACACAATTTAAGGTGGCTGAAACGATTTGTATTGACGGCTCACGCAGGTAAGTGATCCAGCGATGGGAACGAATGAAATTTTATTAATAGAATGTGAAAAGTAAATTTATTTAAATAAAAATAAGGAAACAAACAGGATATTGTTATAGCTCGCGTGGTAAGAATCACGATTTCGAGTATATTAATGTTAGTACATCGCTAACAATGTTGAGACGACAATGGAATACTTTAATTCTTTCTATTATTCATATTAACGATTTAGCGTGTACGAGATATGTAAGAAGGTGTATAAAAAAATAAAGCGATCACAATATTATTAACGTAAACGTGTTATGATATAACGAAGATTTTAATAATGACAAGATAAATGTATCGATCGTTAATAAAGCAAAGTTTAACAACATGCGACTGACTTCGAAGCGAAACTACGTAAATTTTAAACGAACTAATTTCGCTGTTGTAGAGATATGACATCGTAATCTTGAATCATCTTTTGACGTTATCAGCTAATGTAGAGCGAGAGGGTAACGGGATGTGCAAAATAAATTTCTTCACATTAAACCACAGTCCTGCCATATTTCCCGATAGATGTCCAAGAGCGAGAGCCAATCTCTTTTATAGCGATAACCATAAAGTAAAGATAATCGCGTTTCTATCTACGAAGCTGTAAAATTTGCAGAATATTTCTAGCGTAGTGTCTTTGTAATCACGATGTGCAGTGGTCGTTAAGAGTTCGTGTGTGTTCAGATTCAGAAACGTTCATCAATTTTCGACACCCCGTGCTGTTTCTCTCCGCTTAAATTTAACGATTATCGAGAGATTATCGATCGTGTGTGTTCAGATTCAGAAACGTTCATCAATTTTCGACACCCCGTGCTGTTTCTCTCCGCTTAAATTTAACGATTAATGCATCGTACCGAGAGCGATAATAGATATCGTCACTACAGCTTGAATTAATACACAGCTCGATTAAACTCGCGCTTGTCAGAATTTTTTAACAAACAAATCGACGAAAATAAGGAACTTGCGATAACGCGTCGTGTCTCGTTTCTTTCGAATAAAAATCATATTTAAGCGATCTAATCTATTATTTTCATTCCAAGTACTTGATTTTTAATCGAATATAATTTCTAGTGTGTGTGGTGTCACACATTTTTAAAGAGATTTTGTTAATATTTTAGATATTACTAGAAAAATTTTTATTGCGCGCGCTATTAAAGAAATTTATTTTGGTGCCGAAATGAATCATGGCGTGTAATACACGCAAGCATGTAATGATATAGAATAAAAAGAATCATATATGTGCGCGGAGAAAAATAATGTGTTCTCCTTCAGGCAATTAGTAGTATACCTACTTGTTTATCAATGTTACGAGGCAAACTGGCTGTGATTATGTTAGTGTTATCGTCGACACAATTACATTATGGAACCTTGTAAATAGGAATTATTAAATATATGATTACGTACGTACACACATACATACACACACATTCGTACTGTGATTCGCCGCGAGTACATGTAATGAGCCTCCCCTCCCCCCCCCCCCCCCCCCCTCTTCCCCGTTATCTCCATTGTATATCGAAACAACCGATTGCCTGCAATAAAGTCGAGTGAATCGTATGATGTTTCATAATACAAACTGATACGACCTTTATCGAAATATTCTCCTCTCTGTGTTCGCATTATTAAAACTGTTCCCATTCAATATCCGCCATTATTATTCCGTTTAATTTCGAAAGCATGATGTTTCAAAGATTAAAGTTAATTAGGTTGACAATTATTTTGCGTTAATAACGATTGAACAGCACACCGCCCCTTTTATCAGAGATATTCATCTTCCTAGGCAATTTCCGATGTGTGTACTGATTACATATTTTAATAACGTAATTGTTACTCAACATTATACACGCGCGTTTTCTCTATATTAAAATAATATCTTCATAAAACTTATTTCTTTCAAAAGCATTATATTAATTTTTTTCAAAAACTAAGTAAAACTTCGTGCTAGATATATATATATATCCCACTATACTCTCTATGAAAGAAAGAGGAATGAAAAGAAGAGAATAAGAACCAGAAAATTAAAGTGGGATGATATGAAAGTTTATTACAACGGGTTATATATATATAGTACAAGAGCCTCTATGCGGCATTCAAAGTGGAGCCTGTCAATTTTAAAATTGGTTTAAGTAAATAATATATTATCGATAAATATAACGCACGATCTGTTTTTCTTCAAGAAGAGCGAAAGATTTTATTATTTGGTAAAGTATGTGATAAAATTTTTACGCTCTTGTTCAAAACGAATATATAAGGATATATAAGAAAATCGCGAATTTTCTCTTCGAAAATGTGAACGCTTGCAAAAATATGTTGCGACACACACATAAAAGAGAAAACTCTCGAAATATTTAATAAACGCAACGTTTTATATAAATTACAACACACAAAGCATTCCTTACGACTCTCGATATAATATAATAGTTACAACAGAATACGGAATTTAATGTGCTTGCATTTCATAACGTCTATTATATTATTTTTAATGTACTTCTCTCTCTCTCTCTCTCTCTCTCTTTTTTTAACTATGGCGCCGATTCAACAAATAAAACTAAAAATAATGCATATAATATTAATCAAGTCGACGTCATGATCTTTAAAATTATTTTAGCATCATCGTCAACTTCATTGTTAACTGATTTATTCTATTTATATATATTTATATATGTATATATAATAGACAATAATATAATTGTTGAATCGGTGATGCTATTGAGATCGTTATCATAACTTAAAAACTAACATAAGTATTCTCTCTTATATTGTTATTCATGTTCACATTTACAGAAGATTGGCAAAATTCTCCACAAGACAATCTTCATAAGTTAGGTTTTCTGATATCAAATAACTTTTTTAATCAGACTTGAATATTGATTTGTGTTGAAAGGGAAAAGAAAATATTATTTGACTCGAAGTAGATTCACAATCTCGTGCAAATTCATTCCTCTTTTGTCAACATTTTAATTTCTTATTATAAATGTTTATCAATGTTAAAAATTAATCGATAACTGGTGTACAATAGTACACGTCACAAATCTCATTAGTCTACAAAAGACATGTAATTTAGCGAGATAATTTGAATATTGCAAGAGCGTCTCCGCGTCTCAAATGGTTATTCTCCCTTCTCCCCCATCCCGCCGTAGTATTCCACAACCGGGGGTATCTTTTGCATTCGGTTTAGTGAGATAAATTACGAAGATAAATCAAAACGACACCCCACCTCCTTGCCGTCTCTCTCAACCCGCGATATAGACGGATAATTCCCATTAAAGAGGAAAGGCGGTCGGGGCGGGCGAATACCGCGCTAACTTCCGCCTTCATCCACTTATTCTTCGAGGCACGGAAGAACTATTCCTCACAATTACATCCTGATCGATCCGGCCAGAACGTGGATTCTTCTAAGACTCGCGTTTATGACCGTCGCGCGACATCCCCGGAATAATGTTCGCCGATACAAGGGAGAGAAAACGACAGATACGAAGGAAATTAGAAAGAGGAATCTGGGAATCCCGGGATAAGACGACGATCGCGGTGAACTATGGGCCGGATTACGGGTGATACCTCTAATCGAGGGAAGGATCGATTACGTGCGCGAAGAAGACGAAGGAAAATCACAAACTGACATTAATCAATTGATAAAAAACCGCGAAACAAGCGATTATTAAAGGAAACGTATTCTCTACTTTCGAGTGTAATATCCAAGTTGTATTACTATCTCTCGAAAAGAGTGTTATGTGCGTATTAAAACTTTGTATGACCGAAAGCTCACTAAATCTCTTGCGCTATATTATACTTTTATTCTCTTTTAAACTTTGCTTTAAACTATCTATATAATTCACAACAGACTTATAATTCAAAACACACAAAATAGATTTGAAAAAAGTAAAATATATATGTATATGAAAAATATATATCAGGAGATACATTAAGAGATATGCAACATATAAAATTCTATCTTTATCAATAGAATTGTAGATCATTCGAAGTAGATTTTAAATCGGAATACAAACTATTCCTCGTTAAATATATCTTTGAAAAATAATGCTGAAAAATATTTTATCCCCGAAGAAAATTACTCTGTAGGGAATACTCTTCCATTAATAATTTCGGATCCGATGCTTGAGCTTCATTAGTTTCTATACATAAACTCGCCTGTGCGCATTTGAGACGAAAACTCGGGGACTACGGAGATTACGGAGACTACATAATGATCCGACCAACGCGATACAAATACGCGCGCGGATATTACATCCAGTTAGAGTAATCTGACCACGGACGTCGGTGTCTCGTTATCGAGGGTCATCGAGACCGAGTATATCGGTTCTACCTGGATAATTACGTGGTCCAAGTTGTCCGAAGTTTTGGTCGAAGATTCATCGCACTGTCAGAATGTCTTGGCGGAAGATACAACGGCGAGCAATCTTGATAGTTTCAGATATTCGTGGTTTCGGACAGTATCTCTAATTATACCGATAGTAAATTATATTAAATTCTGCGATTGCAGCAAAGATATCAAAAAATACGGAAGAGGAATCGCAAGAAAAATTTTTATCAACTACCTTTCTCTAGCAAATTTCGTAAATGTAAGATATAAAAATAAATATTACAGTGATTTTTTTGTCAACCCGTGTTTCTGATAAGGCCATTGACTTTATCTGGCAAGATTTATCGTGACAGATTTTTTAGACTTTAATATTTTTGAACTTAAAATTCTTTTTGTAAATGTCTATTATATAAAATATTTATTATATTTTATATTTTAT